TAATTTGATTTTTGTAGATGATGGCTCCCCAATACATTGGTCAACAAGTGATTCCAGCTGGTGCACAATATCCACCTGGGGTTTATATGCAGCGACCGGTACGTGGTATTCTTCTTCTAGACTTTCTTCCCTGTAATTCGTTCGCATATTGGGAAAAGCTTGGGATAATCTTTCCATATCTTCTGTTTCGACAATTATATCATGGGAGTGCACTATTTCGCGCAACGAGACTGCTTTGGATTCTGAAAATTACGTTTTATCATCCTGGCAACTTATAAGAAAAGCGCATGGGCTGGTAGCACGCTGACATGTACAGAGTGTCTCGAAAGTATGTATGCACTGTTTTATCGTTAACATCTCTCTCCCCAAGAAGTCTGTTGCCTACTTTCGAAAACCATTTTGTAGAGCTGGCTTCAACTTAGATTTATTATGGAGCAACTACCGGTCCTTTTTCATTACTTGGATTACGGTAGAAACTTTTGGCTTGCAACGGCATTGTGGATCAGTCTTGTCGAAACAGTTTCCAAAAATACTGAAAAGTGTCGTATCAGAGATTTAACGCGCGCTGATTTTATTTCAACCTTTAGGGGTTTATGAAACCTTTAAAAATGGGGTAATCACAATTTTATGGAGCACTGTAGAGAGCTTGCAGTCTGCCTGGCTCAAGTTATGAAGGAATCATTGCCGTAAAATGCAAAGTTCAAAATTGATCTAGGCGATTCTAATTAGGCTAGTGTAAGAGTTTTTAGATCGTTCCTTTGTTTTCCGAAGTAAAGTAGGGCCCTCAATGGCTCAAAACCTTTTTTGATGTACTTACCGTAATCCCATATTGATGAGGAAACATCGATAATTCTCTCCATGCTGCAAAGATGTACCAGAAGGTAGGCAAAAGACTTCTGGAGAGAGATATTTGCGATTAAACAGTGTGTACTTAGTTCTGAGACACTCTATTATTAAATTTATTGTTGACATCAATGCCGCCTCAGCTTTGGGCATTCCTGCCTCCCAAATAATTCATGAATATTATCTAGAACTGACATGATTCGATAAGTGTATATTGCTTTAGACGGTGTTTGTACCTCGCGGCGATATGGGCTACGCACCTGTGGAACAAGCGCAACCTGTCATGGTACCAATGCCGTTCGTGGTCCATCAGATGCCCCCGGGTCAGACAAGCGATCAGTCACAATGTAAGTTGCTTAAGTTATTTTCCCTGAATGATATGTCTTATCAGCATTTTTGACAACTCATAGAAATAGAATTTTTTCAAACTATCGCCAATTTTACTTGAGTTTACTGCTATGTGAAAGCAGTTTTTCTAGATCAGCAAGGCGTCATGGAGCAGCAATCAGCCATGGGGATGGAACAGTATGGTGAGCAAGAGTATGGATCATCATCTGCTCCAGTCGTCCAGGTGAATACTTTTCTACATCATAATCTTGTCAAGCATTTATCATTTTCTTAGCCGGCGCGACCGATGAGCATGCCGTCGCATATCCCTGCTATGCCACCCATGATGGGAATGATGCAACAACCTCCACAAGTGTCGATGCACGATTCGCGCAGCGCAACGGCGTCGATTCCTCCGCTTGTGACGCAGCCGTCTGGTTATGCAGCATC